TGTAGTGCTGCAGGGGATTGTTGTGGCCAAAGTGCAGGATCCAGTCCTTGGCCTTGTTGAACCTCATCCCGTTGGAATCAGCCCAACTCTCCAGCCTGTCTGGGTCCCTCTGTAGAGCCCTCCTGCCTTCCAGCTGATCAACACTCCCCCCTAGCTTAGTGTCATCTGCAAATTTGCTGATGATGGACTCAATCCTCTCATCTAAGTCATCAATAAAGATATTAAACAGAACTGAGCCCAACACTGATCCATGGGGGACACCACTAGTGACCGGCCGCCAACTGGATGCAGCACCGTTCACCACCACTCTCTGGGCTCAGCCCTCCAACCAGTTCCTAACCCAGCACAGAGTGCCCCTGTCCAAGCTGTGGGCTGCCAGCTTTTTCAAGTGTATGCTGTAGGAGACAGTGTCAAAGGCTTTGCTCTAACTTCAGTATCCAAAATCAAACACAACAGGAAATATATACCCAAACCTTTGTGCTTTGTTAGCTTTTTTTTTTACTATTTCACAGGTGTAATGTCAACATAACACTGCCTGGTGTTCTAGGGAGGGCTCCAGAAGACATCTGTGATTAGTCGTGAAATAACTGCTTTAGGATTTCAGTAAACTGGGAAAGCTATCAACATTTCTGAACCCTCTAATTTTGTCATAAGCTCCCCTTTTAACAGACACTTCTATTTCTCACTCCTTGTTTTTTCATGATAGTGTTCAGTTGGTAAATTAATTGAATTTACTACAGAAAGTAAGGGAAACAATATTTTAATTGTGGTAAGATGTCTTTTTATTCCTCTTCTCTGGGAGGCTGTCTCTATGCATAACTGTTCATCATCCTCAAGGCAAAATGCTAAAATAGTTTGATCCCCTTGTTAAAAGCCCCTCAGTTACAACATGGAGGAATGGTCATAAGAAAAGTACCTGAGGGAAAAAAAATCAGACCTGTGACCATTTTTTTATTAAAAATAAGAAAGAAGTAAACCAAAATCTAAAACACAGAAATGGAAATGCTCAACACACATATGGTTCCCCTATCAGAAGAATTTATGAGGATTTGTACACAAAATTCTCATAAACCAATATACGCATCAGCTATGGTAAGCATATGTGCCAGTTGAGTGAAAATCTATTTATCCTCCTTTCCCAAAAACAGGTCATGTGGGCTGTATTTAATAAATAATTCCTTTTTTCTTCCTAGAAATACTGTTATAGAAATACTGGTTTAGACCCTCCAAGCTGTTCTAAAATTATCAGTGTAAGAGAAGGACAGCAAAAGTGCAACAAATAATTAGGTCGCACTATCTAAACACTTTGAGATGAATATGAAAATTAAATAAAGACATGCCTACATGTGCAAAATGGAGATTGTTTTTAGCAGCAAATTTATGAGACATCCAATATTATTAGTAAGTTCTAAGGAACAGCCTTAGGCCCATATTATGCACTCTTCATTTTGCTGGTTAGTACTGCCTGACAGTGGTCATCCTCACCAAGATCAAAAGTCTACCTTGAGAAGTATCCTTACTTTGATGGTAGACAGCATTAAACACTTACATAGAATTTTTTTTTTTTTTTTTAAAGGGAGGGGAACAACACAAAGCTATTTTCCAGCTTCTGCAATGAGAATTCAGCCAACCTGAACTCAGTAGTACTGGTGGATTTCTTCTGCATTACTTGGGCAGCCATTTTGAACCCCTTTGGTAGCCACCTCATTCCTTTGACCTCTGCCGCCCATGGTGCAGTATTAACACTGCAGTTTCACAGGACACAGTCCCAATGAACCCAAATATTTTTTTCCTTCCTATAGCAGTTTCTTGTGTCAATATATATCTGCTATGAAAAGACAACAGTAGTACACTAGAAAGATACAGTGTCAGTATCCATTTTTAGGCAATGTTTCCCTTGAAAATCTCTCCCAAAACTTGTAGAAATTCTTCCCTACCAAAGACTGTGAGAGGAATGTCAGGGAAGAGGGTTTTTTGCCTATTAAGGCTTCTTGTATTGCTTTTTTAAAATCAGTTTAATTAAAATAAACTACAGGTACAAACATCATTTTCCTTGTGATCACATTTAATACTTGAAAATACCAACTTGAAAAATAGAGGCCAGGCACTTGCCCAATAAGACATGATTTATTGTAACACACCGAAAATTCAGTCTGTGATAAATGTTAACACTGAAAACAATTTCTATATTAATGTTTACAGATTTCAGTCTTTTCAATCTCTATAGATATCTATCTTCTTTATTCCAACAATTGTAACTGTAATAGCAATTTCATTTTCAAAAATTGCAAAAACATTGTTTTAACAGTGGCTATTGACAAGAATATATCTGTAACCAATATTATTGTGATTTTCTGAGATAAAAATAATTTATTTTAATTTTCCATGGTTCATACAAAGGTTGAAAGGGCAGTATTCATGACAGAAAGCATATAGCATATACAAGATGATAATTTTTTAATTCCAAATCTTTCTTACATTGTAAGCACTTTTTGGCAGATCAGAATTTAAAATTCTTACAAAGGAATGATAAAAAGCATTATAAGTAAAGTTTAAAAACTGCCAATTCAAATCAGCATGTAACATCAGTTCCTAGGAATTATGCTGTTCTAAAGTGAGAACAGTAAGATGAAAATGAATGCAGTATTATGTGAAACAATGTAGTATTTCCATTTTGATTGTCAAAAAAACTGATCTATTGATTTCAAGTATTTTCTAGTTACTTCATCTTAAGGCTATGACTGTACTATTCCAGTTAAAGAAAATGTCATCCTATTGTACAAAGATTTTTACATCCTCTCCAAAGAAAGCATTTCATTTTTCAGAAAACAGTAGTTATTACTAATATAGCTCATATGTACAGCATGGAGATAAAAATGAGCACATAATTTTTAGTTTAAATAATTTGCTACCCAGCTATACTTAGACTGAAAAAAAAAAAGCGCCAAGGTGCATAGATTTTTTTTCTTTACACTTTTTAAAGAGGCAAATGGCTGAAGTGAACAGTTCATAATAGAGATAAGGTAAGGAAATATAGACCTGAAATAAGCAAAGTTCATGAAAACAGTTAAGTAAAACGAATAGCACAGTAGGGACTGAATTAAATTTTTAAACGCACACAATAGAATACCTGTATACCGCAAGTGATTTTCTTCTTACAGTCATAAATTCAATGTACAGAAACAATGCATTGCAGAATGATGCACTTTATAGGGCTTTTTTCTTCCCTTCTTAAAATATAGAACTATTATGATTCTCTTGTGTGGATGATAAATCCAGCTCAAAATTCTACCCACTGTGAGTTCTACCAAAACATAGTGCTGAGAATGAGCTGTGAGAGAATGAATTATGATATACCAGTGGTTCGTGCAGCATGTGTATTGAAGACAGAAAGGAATGGAAGAGAAAGAAGGACACACAAAGAAAAAAAAATATTTTAAAGGTTATTTTTAAAAAACACAATAGTATTGGAAGTAATATTAAATAATTTTAAATTAATTAAATCTAAATCAAAAAACGTACACCTTACAAAATTTTAAATTAAATAAGATGTCTATGGAAAGTATTCTATAAATAATGAAGGATATAGGCATGACTTCATGTGTCAACTTTCAATAAATATTATTAAAACTATTCCATAAATTGTTTTCTTCACAAGCAAGAGCTGTTGAACAGTTAAGTTCCTCAAAGCTCCTATGCATCTGAAACTAAAGGATTTCAAGACTTAGTTAACTCTGAGACCTCTGAAAGACAAATATTTAGACCTAAAAAATCCCAACAACCCAAAATAAGGAAAATCAGGATAACAGGTGCATACTCAACATTCGAAATTATTGTAGACATTCATAATTGTAAAGAGTATTTGAGTGGGAGAGACTAAAACTCTTCTAAAAACATGAACCACTTGAAGCACTTCAGTAATTTTCAATTGCTTTGCAATGTGCAAGCAAGGAACCTTGATCACTTTCACAATGAAGCACTTAAGCTCTCTGATAATTTTACACCCTTATAGGCCACATATTTCTGGAACCCCGTCATTTCCTAGCTGAAGTGGTTTTAAAAATATGTGAAGTGCTCCAATAATTTTAAATTATTCTGTGCAATGCAAGCTCAGAACTCTGATCACCTCAAAATTTAAGAGCTTATAAAAATTTGAAGTAGCCCAATATTTCTGAATGATTGGGTATTGTGATTTCACTTGTTTTATAAAGTGCTTCCATTTGCAAGGAATTCTGGTGATAAACTGAAATATAGCTGTTGGCTAGCAAATATAGCCATGTAAAAATATAATATAATATTAAAAAATGATTCAGAGAACATGCTTATGCCCCCCACAAAAATCAAAACTCAAGCAGTACAATGAAAAGGAAAACATATCCTGAAACCCCATTTGCAAGCAAAGAAGAAAAGATCTGCCAGAAATTTCAGTCACAAACTACATGTACAGAAACAGCCAACATATTGAAATATACAGAAAGTACAATAAATCAAACACTGCATTGTTTCCAGGAGAGTTATAATTATTCATATGTCCAATAGCCTTTACAGATATATTTTGTGAATATCTGTAATGAATACTATTTGATCATCTTGTCAATGTGTAAGGTACTTAAACATGTCTCACTTTAATCTGTGGTCTTTGGATTTTTTTCTGGGTTATTTTTTCATATAATAAAATCAGACAGGAATATTGTCACTTATACAATGGATAATAATGAAAAATATGTTTTATTTCTGCCAGCATTTCTACTCAACAATATACTGGTTTACTGAAAAAGTATTTTTATCTATTGAAATTTTGTAAATGGTTTACTATTCTGGAAGGGTTTGGATTTTAACTAATTATGCACAAAATTTTGGGGATAAAGATAATAGCTACCAGGTTTGTCCACCTATATATGGGAAAGTGAGGCTTTTGTATAGGTTGCCTTATTTATGTTCATAACCTATACAGAAAATGACACCCTATAGTAGGAATTTCAGCAGTGTTTGTCAGCTTGTATTTCAATGGGTTCCCATACACACTCAGAAACATATTTTGCAAAAAATAATCTCACATTCAACATTCATTGTCCTCCTTTATACTTGCCTTTACCTTCCACCTTCTGCACACATACAGCAGGATTTTAAATTAGAGGGTTCACAGACTCACTGTTGTATTTTTCATTAAGTTCCCAATTAATATTTAGTTGAAGTCTGGCCGTGGACAGGAGGTTCCTCTCACCGTAAAGAAGTGTCTTGGGAAAAGACATCTACTGAAGAAGCAGAGAAAACAGAGATGTTGCCAGAATTCCTGCCCTTTCCACTCAGTGCCAGGAGTTATTATGATCATTGGCAGATATTTTGGTTAATGCAATGGTTCTGCTGTTGCATCACTTTCTGAAGAGCCTGAAATCCACTCAGCAGGGTGACCCACTTGTCTGCTAAAGTGTGTATATAACTAATATTAGGATTAAGGGTAGTAATGTTCAGCAGTGGAAAAGCAGCTAATAAAGTATGTTACCCTTCAAGCACCTTTTTTCTACACTTTTCCACAACTAGGTCAGAATTTCCTTCTCAAAGAAGCAAGGGAAGACACTGACATCAAACAGAGGCCCTCCTAAGCTACTTCAGCAGAAAGACTAATCATCAAACTGGATGAATTATCCAGACTTCAACAGAACTCTTGTATCTGAGAAAATTTATCATCTCCCATAAACAGCACATCTCCTGCATTTTTTAACAATAGTGGTTTGTAAAGAAGGAATAAAACAATTCATATGATCCCTCATATGAACAAGCAGAAATGATAGTAAGTAATTCTTTTACTAAATTGATATCCAAATATTCTGGCATGGAAAAAAATTCATAAAAAGCTTAGGAATTTTTCTTCAGGTAACAAAACTTGGAAAGAGAATACAACTTCTTTCTTTTAAAAAAAATTATTTATTGCTCTTTCTTACTATGCAGCAGTAGAAATATATGTTTTCTCTTTAGCTCTGCCTTCTTGGAGCAAGAAAAAATGAGACTATATTCCAGGAATTCTTGACATGATTCAATAATGAGATTTTTGTCCAAAGTTTGCACTAGAATATTCACTCATAAAACGTATCCAACTTCCTTTTTCTGGCCCCAGCTTTTAAGAGTAGAATATATTGATTATTAAGAGAGGTATAGGAATGCAATTACTGTTAGAATGAAATGTACTTTAAGCCTCTGGATGTGTATTTTCAAACATGGCCAAAGGTACAAGTAAAAAATGTTGTTTTGTTATCCATTTTGCCTCTGAGATTTTGCACATCTCTGTTTTCTCTTGTATGTTGACTTAAAGTGAAAGAAAATTGAGTCAAGAAAGGCAGACTGTAAAAGACCCAGTTTAACTTAACAGAAGCAATAGAAAATACAAATAATCTGAACAGTGGAAGTTCTTTATAATAGAGATTTCAATCATCATGATTTAAGGAACTTTGATTTGGAATATGTTGGATCTGACATGCCATCAGGATGACTCATTGTGCTGAAATACATCATGTTTCACTATTATTGCATAATGTGACATATTGATATAATCAGATGAATTGTCAAAACAAGATGTCAAGTACGTGAAATTCAAATTAAGCAAAGTTTGGAAAAAGTCCTCAAAAGGGACTACATGTTATTACTTTAATTACATATTTTGCTCCATTTCTAAAAGCAGGTCTTTCTATATTAGTACCTCTTTGGACTTGTGTTTAAAATGTCTTCCCTTAATTTAGCCACACATTTTTGAATTAGAGTTAACATTTGCATGGCCACCTGACCAGAGAACATCCTCTCACAATAAACATATTATCCACAAGAGTATGGGAAAGGAAAGTCCTTTTCTTTCCACAATTTCTCATCCTTTTTTTTGTATCTGCACAGTAGTTTTTTAACCTTTTTTTTTTCCCAGTGTCTCAAAAATCTGCTAATGACTAACACTTCTAGAATAGTGCTGTAAGTGACCTTTTTGAGCAGGGCATTAGACAAGATGACTGCCAGAGGTCACCTCCAACCTCAACCATTCCATAATTCTGTGAAAAACTCTAGCTTTAGCTTTGAGTTTCCATCTGTTTTCTAAAACCTTTGTAAACATTTGAAAGAGCTGATTCTAATCTGAACTCCCTTGCAAAAACAGATGTAGCTGATATGCCGCTTCCATACTCCCAATACATCATTCCTTATAAGAATAGTCAGACTGATATGGAACAGACCACTGTTCAGACCTGAGTATCTGCGGCCTTTTCATTTTGCCAAGTAGTTATACAGGTTTAAGACTGCAGTACTCCTTAAAAAACTTTCTAAACTCATAAGAGGTTCTAGTTTTAACAGGAATGAATCCTTCAGGATAGAAAGCAGAGAGAGAAGTCTACATTGTGCTCGTATTCTGTCTCTCCCGCAAGAAAAGCCTCTCTCCCAGGTAGGTAAAATACAATACAACATGTCCAGTTTCTTGGAATTATAGAGGTTTTGAACATACTTAAGGATTCCTCCATTGTCACCTGTGTCCATGTCAAGACTGGTTTCCTTCCAGAGCAGTTCCCATGGCTCGTTGGTGCAGCACATCTTCCTTTGACTGACATAACTGTGAATAGTGTGCTGCTTTTACTGTAGAGAAAATAAAGTTTAATCCACACAACAACTGTCCAACCTCAGTCCTCATGTTAAAATCCTAGGTAGCATCACATTATTACTATAGTCTGAAAAAAATGTAGTAGAGCTTTAAAAAAAATAAAATCCTGCTACATAAATAAGCCAAAAACATTTTGAAGCATTTTGTTTTGAGTACTTTTAATACATAATGTTGTTTTTTTAAAAAACTACAAAATACCCCAAAAGGATATAGAAAATAGTTTCTTGCTGAACAGTAATACAATTTCCACGCTGAAAGACAAAAACTCCCTATCCTGAAATACTGCTGGTTAATTCAAATCCTGCCTGAAACATGGCACACAGTAATAATGATGACAACATTGAGTCCAATAATACAAAAATCAATAGAATGCATTGAACTGCTATCCAAAGCAAATCTAGAATGTCATTTGGATGATTATTAATTAAATTGACACCTGCTAAACTAAATACAAATGAACTAAATACCAACAAACTTTATTTTACATGGAAAATTAAAAAGATTAAGTAACTATTATATAAAGTAAGCAGAAAAGTAGAGTATATGATAGTACTAGCATAGAATCCTGACAATTTTTATGCCTTAGGCTTTGAGATATTTAAAGGAAAGAAAAAGTGATTGTATAAATTGTATAAATATGATATATTAGCAAATGAGCTTTAGCAAATGATCTTTTAATTCTTATTGATCACAGCCTTGGCATTCAAAATCTAATTATACTAAAAAACTCTGCTATATCCAGTGTACTCAGAAATCATTGCCTGAAATTAATCAGCACTCCAAGCACACCATTCCTAATTACAAACTGATCTTTGTCGTGCTTCTTACACATTTTGTTGATGTTCTTAAACATGTCCCAACAAACCTCAAACCAAATCATAATTTCTAGATGACAATTTTGTGGCAAATAATCAGGCAAATAATCTGAACACAAAAATTTCACTAGAAAGATATGTTTTGCTTGAAATTTGTTAAAAAATTAATTTGTTAAAAAAAAAACAAAACAAAACAAAAAACCAAACGATCCAGAAATATTCCTTTCTAATCCCAAAATATACCTACTTCAGGAAGGCTCTTTTTCTGTGTACTATTTTTGAAATCAATTTCTCCCCCTTATTAATAATATTACAGACTGAGGTTGCCTAAATACTTATCTTAAAACAACAGTGTCTTGTGCTTTTTAAGAAGATACCAACTGTGAAAGCTAAGAGCTTTTTACACCTTAAATAGGTAAATTTCCTTTCAGGGGAGAGGCTTAAACCTGATTTAATATAGGGATATTCCTGCTTACCTCAGTGATGAGCAGGTAGAGTTGTTACCTTGATCACTCTAATGTGTTTTATTTAGTGATATAAATTAATAGGCTAATGCTGAATGTTTTAAGTGCATCAAGCAAAGATAATTTCACAGGGTGTTCTTCAAATAGAACAAGGAGTTCCATGTGGTCTACGTAAAATAACTGAGATCAGGCTTATCACCACAGTATGTTCACAAACATGCAGCAGCACCACTGTGATTTTTTGTTCTTTATTTAAGTTCAGGTACAGAAAGCTTTGCTAGTTGTCATCAGTATGTGAGGAAGAGGAAAGTATGTGAGCATAGAAGTCTAGTAAAAGAGAAATTAAATCATAATACACCAGATATGAAAAAAAATTTATAAGAGATTTCAGAATTTTTGCCATTATGAATTGGAATTATTTTCCAAGTTTTGACATCTTTTGTGGATACAGAAAATAAGTCCACTAACACACGATTTGCCTTATTAAGGGCCAAGGACCTAAGGAGAAGTAAAGTGGTGGAAACACCCCAATGTAAAATTTTTTCAGTTATATACAGCAGAACTAAAATCATAGCCTGAGAAAACAATTATACTTTAGGTTGCAGTTAATAGGGCTTGACAGAGAAAGTAAATCAGTTGCCCCAGCTATTTCTCAAACTGAAGATTTGCCTTTAGATAATACTTAAAGCATAGATAAAAATGCAATAAGGACCAGGTAGTTACACTCACAATCACTTTTGTCTACACTGAACATTGAAGTACATTGAAGCACTCTCATTGCTCGTGCTCTGGACTCCCTGTCCACTCTACTCCAGTCAGTGTAACACCATAAACTTGAACAATTTCACAGCAGATTCTTGTAATGACTAGCATCAAAGTTACACATTTTCATTAAAAAAAAAAAAAGGTACATTCAGCTCCAAGAGTCATTCAAGCTCTAGGATGTTCAGTTTAATCTTCTGTACAGGTGTTTCATATTTCTTATATACCCATTTGAAATGTTCAGTGAAGGAAGCAATGTTTCCCTCAATAGAAGATTATTTAGAAAAGCAGCACATTGTAAATTCTCTTTCTAGTAGTCCAAGAAAGAGTTGATGCAGTAAATAAACTTCTAGTTCTAAATTATAAATATCCTGTGACAGGTGTGCCTTTAATTGCCGAACACAAAAACTAGGTCACTTTAACTGAAAACAATTGAGCCCCAAATTTGCAAATTCAACATTAACTAACTAAAATCCCTGGCTACTCAAGGTACTGTTTTCTGAGTCTTTGAATGAATTATAGAAAAGGTAAGTTCAAGTATAGTTTCCTTTTCAGATTCGGCAAAAAAAAATCTGTCTGTCTGTTAAGAGACTGACAAGATCCTTCACCTTTCCTTTTTTTCTGGTGTTTATCCCAGAAATCTTGGGAAAGGCATTCCATAATCTGTAACACTATTGATCTAGAAAGCAATCATGAAACCCTTCTGTCTTTATAGACAAAGATTTCCACAGACTTTAAACAATAATTTCACAGCATCACAGAATGGGTCATGTTGGAAGGGGCTACAATGGGTCATCTGGTCCAACCTCCCTGCTCAACCAGGTTCATCTTAGAGCACATTGCACAGGATTGCATCCAGACTGTGCTTGAATATCTCCAATGAGGGAGACTCCACAATCACTCTGGGCAACCTGTTCCACTGTACAGTCACCTTCACAGTAAGTTCTTCCTCACATTCTGATGGAACTGTGCCTCAGTTTCTGCCCATTGACTCTTGTCTTATGGCTTGGCACCACTGAGAAGAGCCTGAGTCCATGCTCTTAACACCCTCCCTTCAGATACTCATGGACATTAATGAGATCCCCTCTCAGTCAATCTCTTCTGAAGGCCAAACAGATTCAACTCTCTAGCCTTTCCTTGTAAGAGTCCCTTGATCAACCTTTTTTTCCCTCTGCTGCTCCAGGAGCTCCATGCTTCTCTTTTACTGAGAAGCCCAAAACAGGACACAGCTGGGCCTGATGTGAGGCCCGGATATGTCCTCATCAGGGCTGAGTAGAGGGGCAGGATCACCTCCCTCAACCTACTGGCCATGCTCTTCCTAATACACCCCAGGATACCATTGGCTTTCCTGGTGACAAAAACATGCTGCTGGCTCATGGACAGCTTGTTGTCCACCAGGACCCCCAGTTCTTTCTCTGCAGAGCTGCTTTCCAGCAGGTCATCCCCCAGCCTGTACTGGTGCATGGGGTTCTTCTCCCCCAGGTGCAGGACCCTGCATTTAACTTTCTTGAATTTCAGACAGTTCTTCTCTGCCCATCTCTCCAACCTATTGAGGTCCTTCTGAAGGGCTGCACAACATTTTGGTCTATCAGCCAACCCTCCCAGCTTTGCGTCATCAATGAGCCTACCATCAATGAGGAGGCACCCTACCCCTTCATCCAAGTCATTCATAGAAACATAAAATCGTAGAATCAACCAGGTTGGAAAAGACCTCTGAGATCAAGTCCAACCCTTGATCCACTACTGCCATGGTTACTAGACCATGGTACTAAGTGTCGCATCCAGTGTCATCTTAAAAACCTCCAGGGACGGTGAATCCACCACCTCCCTGGGCAGCCCATTCCAATGCCTGATTACTCTCCCTGTAAAATATTTTTTCCTAATATCCAACCTAAACCTCCCCTGCCAGAGCTTAAGACCATGCTCTCTTGTCCTACTGCTGGTTGCGTCAGAGAAGAGACCAACCCCCACCTGGCTACAGCCTCCTTTCAGGTAGCTGGAGAGAGTGATGAGGTCTCCCCTGAGCCTCCTCTTCTCCAGGCTAAACAATCCCAGCTCCCTCAGCCTCTCCTCATAGGACTTGTCCCTTCACCAGCCTTGTTGCTCTTCTCTGCTCCAGCACCTCAATATCCTTCCTGAACTGAGAGGCCCAGAACTGGACACAGCACTCCAGGTGTGGCCTCACCAGTGCTGAGTACAGGGGAAGAATCACTTCCTTGGACCGGTTGGCCACACTGTTCCTGATCCAGGCCAGGATGCCATTGGCCTTCTTGGCCACCTGGGCACACTGCTGGCTCATGTTCAGCTTCCTGTCAGTCCAAACTCCCAGGTCCCTTTCTGCCTGGCTGCTCTCCAGCCACTCTGTCCCCAGCCTGTAGCGCTGCAGGGGGTTGTTGTGGCCAAAGTACAGGGCCCAGCACTTGGCCTTGTTGAACCTCATCCTATTGGAATCAGACCATCTCTCCAGCCTGTCTAGGTCCCTCTGAAGAGCCCTCCTGCCTTCCAACAGATCAACACACCCCCTCAACTTCATAAATAAGTTAAACTGTATTGGGCCCAATATTGAACCTTGGGGGACACCACTAGTGACAGAACTCCAGCTAGACCTTGTGCCACTCATTATAACCCTCTGGGATCCGCCATTCAGCCAGTTCTCAGTCCACCTCACTGTCCACTCATCCAGTCCACACTTGCTGAGTTTGCCTATGAAGATGCTCTGAGAGACCATGTCAAAAGTCTGGCTGCATTTGAAGTAGTCAATATCCACTGTTCTCCCCTCATCTATTCAGGTAATTGGTTCACTATAGAAGGAAATCGGTTTGGTCAATCATGATTTACATTTAGTGCATCCCTGCTGACTACTCCTTGTCACCTTTTTGTCATCCACATGGATAGAGATGGCCTCCAGAATAAGGCACTCCATCGCCTTTCCAG